AGGAGCGTGAGCCCTACTGTAAACTGCACATGTGAGGGATCTAGGTTGTGCACTCCTAAAGAGAGTCTAATGCCTGATGATCTCAGGTGCAGCTGAGGGGGTGATGCTAGCACTGGAGAGTGGCTCCAAATACAGATTATCATTAGCAGAGAGGTTTGACTGCACAGTAAATGTAATGCACTCGAATCACCCCAAAACCACCCCTACACCCCTCACCCTGATGGATTGAAAAATTGTCTTCTATGAAATCGGTCCCTGGTGCCAAAAAGGTTAGGGACTGCTGCCCTAAGCCAATGGATAAGTTGAGGTTTTATCATAAACATGACAGGAAGCCACAAATGATGTTAAGCGGGGAAGTGACATGTTTCCGTTTGAGCTTGTAAAAATGGCGCAGGGTCCTCTTGGAGACTGGATTGCAGGGGTCAAGCATGGAGGAGGGAGAGCAGTTGGGGTCCCTGGTGGTCATCTGGGAAGAAGTCAGGGAGGCAGGGGAGGTGGCAGGAAGTGGATGGAAACAAACTAGGTTTTGGAGAACTTCGCCAATCCTAAATGCCAGAGACTCAAGCAGCCATGATTCCCAGTCTCGGCCCCTCCATGAGGAAACCAAGCCAGCCACCCCGCAGCTGCAGGCACTGTTGTCAGAAGCCTGTGTAGCTGGCTGCCCCCGGGAGGAGTGTTCTGAAGCCTGGGTGCAGCACCTGGACACTCTCTGCGTTGTGGGTTGGAGTTATGTCCCACAGAGCCAGGGCAAGCTCCACGGAGAAATGCATATTGTCCCATGGACCAAATCACCATTCCACCTAAACTTCATCCCTGTGGCAGGTGCTTAGGAGTCTGAGACTTTAAAAGGGAAACTTTCAACTTCTGATCTTCCATTCACAGAATCAGTCCTAAATGCTTGAGAACTTCCTGGGATATTTGCCTACAGAACAGCCTGTGCCCCTACCTTTTTTTTTCTGGCAGTGTTGGAAAAAAAATCTGTTTCTCTTTTTTCTCTTTCCCTAGTAATGCAGCAAGAGAGATTAAAGTTGTAAATCTACTTCCAGTTGCAGAGGCTGTGGGTCCAGGTGTGGCTTCCCAGGACACCAGGACATATCAGCATCAGCCCCAAGGCAGGTGGGCACAGCTGCAGCAGGGGGCAGGCACCCCAGACAGTGACGGGGCAAGACCTTTTGTTGCGACAGAGAATGGCTGGGGGAAAAGAGGAAAATCGGGAAAAGGAATGAGAGGCTGGGGAAGGGGCCAACTTTTTACATCACAGCACCGAGGACTGCTAAGAGCCTGACACAGACGGCACTATGTCATCTTTGGAGATTATTAAGGGGAAGTGGCAGTCATGTTGGTGCCACTCCTACCCGTGATCAAACGGACCTTCTATCATCACAGCACAGAGAAGAGTACAGAGCTGAATGATGGCAAAATGGTGCTCGCCTCTGTGTGTTTTATAGCCACCCATTAATAATTCATGCGGTAGCTAAATGACGAGAGAGTCAGAGCCATCTTCAGCTCCCGCCCCCAGCCTCCACCACCTGCGCCCTGCCCTTTGGGGGACCGCCCGTCCCTCTCTCCGCCTGGGACCAGAAGCGCCTGCCTGCCACATCATGCAGCGCCTGACATGCTCGTGACAAATGCTGACATCTCCTGTCAGGTTTTTCCTTCCGCCTACCCGAAGTCAAATGGGCTACAATGTGGTGATTTATCCTCCTCCCATTGTCCTCAGCCTGCCCTGTCTTCAAAGAACAAACCACTTCCTTTTTCCCCCTAAAACATTTCTGGTTCATTCTCAGACTTGCTGCAGAAAGGCTACCGCACCACTAGCCTGCAAGCCTCTCCCAGCCCTACTGCTCCCCTGCCTCACAGACTCCTCTGAGGCTCCTTCCTCATTTCCTCTTTTCTCCTCCCTCGGTTTTTAAAAATTTATTTATTTTATTATTCTTATTCTTGAGACAGAGTTTTACTCTGTCTCCCAGGCTGGAGTGCAGTTTACTGTAGTCTCAAACTCCTGTCCTCAAGTGATCCTTCTGCCTCAGCCTCCCAAAGCACTAGGATTACAGGTGTGAGCCACTGTGTCTGGCTTCCTTCTCCCTAGGTTTTAAGTCTTTGAAAAGGAGCCACTTCATGAAAAAAGAGCTTCATAAAAAAATTGTATAATGTAAACTCAGTCTATAGAATATATGCACATTCTTATATCAATATATTGAAAAATAAATCCACCAAAAATAAAAACAGTAGAATTCGCTAGAAGTTTGTATTTTCTTTGTTCCTTCCATGGACTCCGGGTCAGACAGCCTGGACTCACCCCTGCCCCACAATCTACACTGATCTGCGCCATCCCCCAGCCTCCTGCCCACCCCCCTTGTATAAAATGGGACTGCGATCACGCCTCCCTCCTGGGCTGTCGTTGGGATGTGAGGAAGTTCAGGTAAACTGCTTATCACATCCTGGCACAGGGCGCGAGCTGAGTGAATGGCAGCTCTCACAATGAGCCTGTGCTGCTCTTAAAAATCACGGAGTGCAGAGCATTTTTAAAGGAATAATTAAAAAATAATTCAAAAGCCAGGGTTGGGAGGAGGAGAATTAAAACTTGTTCTAATCTTCAAAGCATGTGAATCCGAGGCTTCTGTGTTTGGAACATTTCAAAGCTTCATGGAATTTTCTTAATTTGGGGCCCAAGCACTGGGGGAAGATGATAAACAGACTGGCAAGAGAGAGGTAATTAGCTGGCCCTGGATGGGGGATGCCCTGGGGGGGGGGGCAGGCAGGGTTCTCCCTTGCTCCTGCGTTTGCCTGTGCGCACATGCATGTGTGTGGTATATGTAGGGTTTGTGGTGTGGTGTGGGGTTTGTGTTGTGTGGTATTTGTGGCATGTGGTATGGAGTGTGTGTGTGTGGTGTGTTAATATGTGTAGGCTTTGGGGTGTGTGTGGTGTGGTGTGGTGTTTGTGTTGTGTGGTGGTTGTGGTGTGTGTTATGGTCTGTGTGTGGTGGGGTTTTTTGGTATGTTTGGTATATTTTGTGCTTTGTGTGTGGTTTTTGTGGTGTTGTGGTATGTGGGGGTTGGAGTGTTTTGTGGGGTAAGTATGTGTGGTGTTTGTGGTATGTGTGGTGTGGAGGGGGTGGGGTGTTTTGTGGGGTGTAGGATATGGTGTGTAGGGTGTGTGGTGTGTGGGTTTGTGATAATATGTGTGGTATGTCGTCTGTGGTGTGTGGTATATGTGTGTGGAGTGCAAGCATTGTGTGTGTGGTGTGTGTGTTTTGTGTGTGCACGTGTGTTTCCAGGCCACAGCGGAGGGCGGGGGAGTCCAGGCGGAACCCGCAGGCTGAGGTGAGGAGTGGGCTGAGGGCACGGAAGCATTCGCAGACAGAGCACCAGAGAGGAGGAGGCTGCACGGGGAGAGAAGCCTGTTGATTTGCAGAGAGCCCTGTGGGACACGGAAGGTGGCCCCCAGAGATGGCCACGTCCTTGTGCCCGAAACCTATGAATAGGTAACTTAACTTCATATGGCAAAAGAATATTAAAGCTTCAGGTGGAATTAAGGTTACTAATCAGCTGACCTTAAAATAGGGAGAGGATCCTGGTTTGTCTGACCTCAGCGGGCTGAGAGGAAGGAGAGAAGAAGCGTGAGGGGGCTCCCCCCCCCCACGCCACTGCAGGCTGTGAAGGTAGGGGGAGGGGCCTGGGCAGGACTGTGCCCCCTGCAGGAGCTGGGGAGGGCCTGCAGTTCACAGCCAGTCCGGAGGAGATGAGGACAGCACAAGTGACTGAATTCTGCCAAGAACCTGGGTGAGCAGGAAAAAGATTCCTCCCAGAGCCTCCGGAAGGCAGCACAGCTTGCTGACTCCCCAATTTTGGCCAAGGGAAACCTGTGCTGGACTCCCAGCCTATAGAACTGCAAGATGATACGTTTGCATTGCATACGCCATTGTTTGCAGTAATTTGTTACGGCAGCAAGAGAAAAGTAACACATGAACGCCGAGCACTCTGCAGAGCACTGATCAGTACATGCGCTTGAGAAAACCACCCAAGGGTGGGAAGAGACCACCTGAAGGGACCTGCTACTCGTGCAGACTCGGGTGGAGGAGCCAACACCACCATGGCCGGTCTCCTGATGTGGCTTTGCCACTAAGTCATCGGTGGCCCTGGGCAGGACACCACTCCCTGGGAAATGTGGGTTTAGTCTGGGAGACTTCAAAGCTCCTTCCCATCCACTGTGATATTCTTCTAGTCATCAACATAGAGCAACGATCTATTCTTGGATTGGGTTTGATGTCAAGCCCGGTTTGGTGGAGAAGATCTGGGCTGTGAGCACAGAGCTGCCTGGGTTCTCTGCATCAGCACACGCACGCACATCACCACTGGGCCTCGAGCTCCGCTGCACAATGGATTTGAAGCAACAGGGCGACTCAATGCCTGTTGGCCACTTCCCTCCACAGACAGGGCCCTATTGGGGGGAGAAACTCCATCATTTATAGTTTTTTTAAAAAAGGAACAACCCAATATAGATCCCTCAGTAGGGAATGTTTAACTAAACTCCAAGGAATCATACTGTGGAAGACTATGCAACAGGTTAAAAAGAGTGAGGCAGGAGGATAGCTTGAGGCCAGGATTTTGAGACCAGCCAGGGCAATATAGTGAGACCCCATCTCTACAGAAAAGAAAAAAAAAAAGAGCCAGGCATGGTGGTGTGTGCCCGTAGTCCCAGCTACTCGGGAGGCTGAGGTGGAAGAATGACTTGAGCCCAGGAGTTTGAGGCTGCAGTAAGCTAAGATTGCACCACTGCATTCCGGCCTGGGCAACAGAGTGAGACCCCAACTCTCTCTCTCTCTCTCTCTCTCTCTCTCTGTGTGTGTGTGTAAAATAATGCATTTTATAAAATAAAAGAATGAGGTAGATCCCAATGTGCAACGCAAAAAGCTCTCCTAAATGTAGGGCAGCTCGAAAGCAGGTTGCCGAGCAACACAGAGTGACAATGTTTATGCTTGAAAAAGAAGACACAAAGATGATGTGTGTATTCATATTTATATATGTACATATAAAACATATAGGCATAAAATGCATTGAAAAGAGACCCATTTTCCACACAGCTGCCAAGCGATCCTTTCAAAACATAAGTCAGCTCATCCAGCTCACTGAGAACCAGTCTCCCCATGGCCTGTACGCTATGGCCTCTCCGATCCACTCACCAGCTATTCCGCCCCCCACCCTGCTCCCAGCAGCCCTTGAACAGGCTGGGCCCTGCCTGCCTCGGCGCCTGCCCCCAGCCTCAGGCAGGCCAGGCTCTGCTGAAGGGCTCCTGGGCAGCACTCTGCCTGCTCTGTCTGAAGTAACGCTTCTTCCCCAGTGGCTTCTCTTTCTTACCCTTTACTTTTCAAAAGAACATGAGCAGCAGTTAATGAATTTTACTCCCATTTGCATGTGCACGTGCAAGCTCGGTCTGCGAGCCCTTTGAGTTGTATACAATGCCACATGCCCAGGACATAGACGGATGCCGGCACACAGTAGGCCCTCCATAAATACTTGTTAAATGAATGAATGAACAATGCAGAAGTACCTCGTGGGAAGAGCCCAGGACTGTTCTGGAAGGTGGTCAAGGGAAAGCGCAGCTTTACCTCCAAGGTTACATTGTGTACAGTGACAAGGTTTTTCATGGATTGCTTGTGAGATTAAACATTAACAAACACTGAGAAAAAGGCCATTATATTTGATAATTCAAGGTAGAGTCCTATGGCGCTGCTGCTCCGGGAACTCACAGGAGTCCATGCTGGGATCGCTGGGGACCGAGGACGGGGCAGGTAGAGGAGGGTTGTCAGAGTGTTCCGGGTGGAGGGGACAGTGTGACTGAGGCCCAGGGGTGTGAGCCCACCTGCCAACCCTGCCTGAGGGGACTGAGGCACCGCCAGGCGCCTGAGAGTCACCGACTTGCCCGCCATGGCAATGCCACACGAAGCACCAGCTGTGAAGACACGAGGACCTGGTGACAACAAATAAACAACACATTAGTACGCTGCCTCCTTCACTGAGAAAAGCTTAATACAAAACAAACTCAGAAAAATTCTATTTTGGGACCCCCATAGCATGTAGGATGGTGAAGGCGATTTACCTGCAAGCCCGGAGCAAGCTCCTCCTCCCAGCAAGAGGTTGGGAACAGGGCCTCGCCCCAGGAACCCTGAGCCCGAGTCCATCTCGAGTCACAGCAAAAAGAGGGGGGCTGTGTGAGTGGGCTTGTGGGGCCACATGCAGGGAAGGGGTGAGCTTTGTTCACCCCTTTGTTCAGGGCCACCCCAGCTGGGGGACACCAAGCCCTGTGGTCACTCTAGGCCATCAAAGACACCCCCCATGCTCTCCCTTTCTTTTTCTCTACGTGCCTTACCTGATCCAACTTTTTTCTTGCTTCCTCAGGCACACGTTTCCTTCCTTCTCCCTGCTCCCCCGTGGCACACCCTTGCTGGCCTCTAGGCCCCTGCACATGCCATGCCCTTCATCTGCTAAATCCTGGACGACCTGGCACACCTGGTGTTGGGACCCCCAGCGCCCCAAGGAAGCCTTACCTGCGCCTGCAGGCCGGGTGGGGCTCCCTCCTCAGCATGCCCACAGCCCTCGGAAGCACCTTTATTTATCACTTGGTTTTGTCAATTCCCAGCAATCTGTCTGCCTTGCCAGACAGGGAGGCTTGGTGAGGATGTGGGTAGAGTCATGTTCACCTCTAGAAGCCCAGGTCCCAGGACAGAGTGAGTTCTCAAGAAACACTGGGTATGTTAATAAAAAAAAAAAAATGGACTGAATATACTAGACTCACTGGAGAACATAGTAAGTAGACTATTCCATCCACATCTGGAGAAGCTGACAGCATGTCTCACCTGCCAGAAGCAATCACTACCTAGCCAGGAGAAGGACAAAATCCAGGTGCTCTATGTGGAGGAGGTGATGCCACAAACTGGGACAAGAGAGCCATCCTGAGACCAGAGTTAGGAACGGCTTCCAGGGAGAGAAAGGTGGCACAGAATAGGGAAGATACAGCCCATAGGGAGCACACTCCAGGTTTTACTTGACTCCCAAAGCCTGGGTCCAAATTCACATTCCACTCTGCTGGGAGCTGGGTTTGAGTGGATCTATTGGGGTATAAAGGTGTGGGATTTGTGGAGCTCAGCATTAGCAACATAGAGCCTCAATTTTAGGAGGACATTTCCACAGCCTCTCCTGGGGGGCAGCTGAACCAAATGGAACCCCCTACTTGGCTGGAGCGGGAAGTATTAATGGCTTTTGCAAGCTTGAGAAAGAGCATACAACTTAATTAAGATTGGCCCTTCATGGGAACATCCATCAGCTCTTGACACAGCAGGAACAGGAGGGCGGCTTAGAGTGAGGGGCAAGGAAGGGGACCCTGTGGGGAGTGGCTGCTGCATGGAGGCAAGAATCTCCTGCCCCCACGGCAGGGTTTGCTGATGTTCCTGAGGGTCAGACCCTGGCATCCGCAGTTGCGGAGGGCAGGGATCAGAGCAGTGTCTTAATTAATCCACAGAGAGTGGCTCGGCCCGGCCTCACCCTCTGTTTCAATCACTCAATCCTTCTAATTTCCCAGCAATTTAATTAAAGGATCTTCCCCCTTATAATGATGTCTCATTTCCTCAGAGCAGCTTTAAAAGAATTAGAAGCCACTAAAGCTGATCCGATGGTAGTTGTTTCCCTGAGACTCGTCTAGAATATCAGAACAGAAAGGAGCTAGCAGATGACTCCACACCCCTAAGTCCCTTTCCACAGCAGGAATCTGAGGCCCAGAGAGAAGAGGGGTGCCCTCAGGGTCACACAAGGAATTGGGACAGAATCAGATGGTGGCCAATTCTATCTCTTTCTATGCCCGTTCCATCATAGCAGAAAGGGATATAATATTCAATCAGTGACCCCAGATTATTCCTCTTTAAAGTGGCATGCTATTTGTGAAAATTACATTCACCTATCAGCGTAAAAGTGCTTGGTTGCTGGAAATAAAATAAAACATAAATACGTTTACAGTTTCTATGACTCTGGCCCTGTAGACCCAAGCATTTAGGACAGTGGGTCAAGTAAACTGTGGTCTGTGGGCCAAATCTGGCCCACCACCTATTTTTGTAAATAAAGTTTTATTGAAACACAAACACACTTATTCATTTACACATAATCTCTGGCTGCTTTCATGTTACAATGCCAGAGCTGAATAGTTGTGGTAAAGACCACACAGCCACCAAAACATAAAATATCTGACTCTTTACAAAAGATGTTTGCCAACCCCTGTGGGGCTGCAGAAGCCCATGACACCATCAAAAATCCTCCAAGGGCTAGAAGAACCAAAATACTGTCTTACAGCAAACAAGGTAGTAATAGACATTAAATACTGAGTATAACTGTGTGCCACGTATCCTAAATGACAAGGTGTAGAATATTGCATCAACCCTACAGACTGATAAGAACATCTCCATTCATGAATGAGCTTATTGAAGCTCAACAAGGCTAAAGAAATTGTCTGAGATCGCAGAACCGGTGAGTTGTGCAACAGAGCCTCACCCTACACCGACCACCCCAGCCGGGCTCCTCCACACCCAGCTGATGCCCTCCTTCCCCAGGTACTGTCCAGTGGTAATGCCAACACTGAATGCATGAGACCTAAGTGGGACCTCAGAGACCCCACAACCCCAACTCTCCCCCGCCCACTGTATGCCAGGGAAACTGAGGCCCAGGAAATACAAGAGACCTCCAACACCACTCGGAGTCCACAGCAGAGTTGGGGAAAGGACCCACGGCTCCTGGCTCCACCTGCAATGCCTAATCCACCCTGTTGCCCTCAAGTCCCTCTGGCCCTGGCGTCCTGGCCTTGCATTGTTGTCTCCACTCTGCATTCATGTCACACGTTCCCCATCATTCCTGGTCACTGCACACTGGGGAGTCCCTTCTAGGCTCTCCCAGCCTCTGGGGCTCCTGGGATGGTAACCAACCTCCAGCTATTCTGCTATTTGTGCATCCAACATGGTTATTACAGAATAAAAACGCTGACAGTGATCGTACGGATCATAATAATCAACCCTGGCTGGCTGCTTGTGCCCTGACAGGAGACGGACATGCATCATCTTACCTACGACCCCCAGCAATTCAACGAGGAAGCCGAACTCCATTTTAGAGATGAAAAGTCTGAGGCGCAGAGAGAACATCTGATCTTTCCAGCCCGTCAGGGTGAACCCACAGCTCCAACCTGGATTCTGACCTCAGACACAGCAAAGGTCCATTAGCTGGTAACACACCCACACTTGTTTAGACCACCCGCTGACGGGTTTCTAGAGGGCCCTTGCGCTGGGTAGACTCCACCAATTGTTACTGTCAACACGCTGCGGCCTGCAAGGGACAGAAGCCAGCCAAGCACCCTCCTTCCAAGCAAACTGCCCTCTCAATACCTCAGTAGCCTGCGTGTGACCTGAGTATTGATTACGGCAGTTCTGTCACTACTGGTCCCCGTATCAATTTCTCCTGGCTCATCACAAGACCCCTGAAGGCAGGGCTGCTGGCTGGGACATCTCTCTACCAATCCAAGGTCCAGTTCTGGATGCTCGGGGAAGAGGTGCTAAATAGAAGGAGCGAGAGTGGGGACAGTGCCGGTGCCCCTCGTCCCAGTCTGGTCCCCGAAGGGCCTCTGGCTCGACACAGCCTTCTTCTGTCTACATGGCCCTTTCTCTCCCCTTTTGTCTGCCTTGTGATGGTTAATACACAAACCACCACTGCCTTCTTAGCCTGCAGGAAGTGTAACAACTGTTATCTACCGCAAACCACCGAAGCCTTAAATTGCGGCAGGAATAGTGACAGTGATAGATTAGAATTTTTTAAATCGAACTCGAATGTGTCCCCGTCATGGCTAAGAGAGGGGCTGAGTTGACTTGAAAATAATTTACTTAGAAAATTTTGTGATGCATGGTAAATTAAGTCTCCCTCTTGGCACACATTCTTTTCCCCTCCAGCAAAGTATTAGCCTATTTAATTGCGTCCCAAAGACTTCCCGCTACAACTTGAAACTACTGCCACTGGGGGGAGATGGATGTAAACCTGGACTTCATCCAAGGGCAGGATGGACAGTTCATTTTGAAATTTTAAAAGGGAGTGGAGTGGGGAGATGGATTTGGAACTAAGTAGTCTTTTTTCTCCAGCCTTGAAAGACAACTGAAGAATAAGGAAAAAATTATCAGTGACAACAGCTAATGAATTTTAAGTACTTATTACAAAAAAACTTAATTTGCTAAATTAGCCCTGTAGATACAGGTTAGAAAATGAGTCACTGTCTCCTTAAAAATGCAACACTCAGAGCAACTACCACAGCTCAGACTTGCTCTTGCAAGGCCAAGTTGGAAGGTCACGTCCAACAGTTTAAATGCCATCACCAGAAGCCAGAGTTGCCTCTCCACCCCAGACACTGCTAAGCACGTCACAAACATGTCCTGGGGATCCTCCCTCACTCTGGGGTTATGTGACAACCTTCTTCACCTATGCACTCGGTGAGAACACCCACACCTCCCGGTGCTGTCCTGAAGACCCAACGCAGAATCAATAGAAAGCTCCTCGCAGAGCCCCTGATGCACAGGAAGCTGCATGTGCCTTGTGGCAATTATTATTTTACCATTCCCACTGTACTAATGGGGGGAGGTGACCTAGTTCACCCCAAAAGTGACACACCTGCTGGCAGTGGAGTCAGGCCAAGTCTGTCTTGCCTGGGCTTCATCTCCTAATTCAAAGTGAAGCTATTTGCCCTTTGCTAGCAGATGAGCACCTGGGAGGCCAGTCCCCATGACAGAGGCAAAGCCCACCCAGATGCAAGGTGGGTGTCAGGGCTGCTGCCAGATAAGCTGAAGAGGCACCTGTGGGAGGGGCCAGGGGCCTTCCAGGGCCAGGCCGGCTGCATGCTCCCCTATGCTTCCTCCCCAGCTCCAGGCATTGTAGGCACTCTGGCTGACCCTCGTTCTCCTGCCCCAACTGTCTCTGACCCTGGCCCAGCCCTGGGTCTCCTGTGCTTGTGCTGGCTTCTGCTCACAGTTGTCTTGTCTCTCAGCAATGTGGTCCCTGGGCTTCAGCTCCCTGGAGTGACCCCTATCACTGTGCCTGCTCCGCCTTCTTGAAGTCAGGGCTGACAGACAAGGAGGCAGCATGGCACAGGGGGTACAAAAAGCACCCAGAGGAGCAGGAACCTCATACCTGCATTCAAGTCCCAGATGTATACCTTTCCAGCCTCAAGTGTCCCCCAAGGCAGGGTACTTACAAAGCCACCATTTTCTCCGCTGTAATAGGGAAAGAAGAGTTGGCAGAAGGCACACTGGTTATGAGTACAGATCTTGCTTGGGTTCAATTCCTGGTTCTGCAACTCCTTTGCGAGCTTCAGCAAGTTACTTAATCTCTCTGTGCTGACATCCCCCATCAATAGAATTCTAATGATAGCACCTAACTCACTGGGTTGCTGTGACAATGAGAACATCTATATCTTGGCATTGGGTAAGGTCTATACAAGTGCCCGCGGTTCGATCTTATGAAGGACACGGGTGGATGGGAAGATTGAACATGGTGAAGCTCATTAAAGAGCCTACCATGGTATCTGGCACACAGTAGGTACTTAACACACATTATAAAACAGACAGGTAGAGTCCATTCAGCCTTTCAGCACAAACTTCCACCTTGCCTGACACAAAATACAAGTTGGGTCCAAAAGTGTCCATCAACAGCAGCCAATGAGGGAGACTCTGGGGAAGGGCTGCAAGTGTGGCTTAGAGATACTTTCCCTGAGTTCAGCTCCAGCACCCCAGGAAAGAGCAGCGGAGACGAGCCCGCTGCCCTGACCTTCCAAATACCCACAGGGCAGGGTCAGCCGGGAACACCAATTCCTCAGCTTCCTGCTTCCACCTTTCCAGTTGTGGAGTGGGGGGAATAAAATGCACAGCATCTGCACAAGCAGGTGGGCGGGATGTGCAGGGCAGAACTGCCCTGACCTCCTCACCCCAGGTCTCTCAGACCCCACTGCCTCCCCATGATTCATACATCAACACCCACTGTCTCACACACCTGCTCTTCTAGGCTCTGGCTTCTGGCAGGTCTTTTTGTCCTTCCCTGTAGAGCTCCCCCCAGCCAGATGAAGATGTTCACGGCTCACGGCCATCCTTGCCACCCCCGCCAATCCCTGCAAGTGCCAAGTTCATCTAGTTTCCAAGGCCCTGATCATAGGCCCCCTCTGCACTGTGAGGCTCTCCCTAATTCGTCCCAGGCAGGAAGGGTCCTCCCTTCCTTTCCTAGGGCAAGAAGTCACTTTCCCACTTGTACCAGAGCAACAGCTTTTAAGCCTCTCCCAAGAGGTGTCCTCAGGCCCTGTTGGGGTGAGGTGAGAGGACTGGTGACAGCCTCTGCCCTCTCCAACAGAGCGGCCACCACTCAACCTGCTTATCCACATGTGCAAGACCTCACTGACAGATGGGTTCTCCAAGGAAACAAATCTTACCCCTCCAGTGGCGGGTAAGAGACCCTAGGGCTGGGCAGAGCATAGCAGGGCTCAACTTGATGCCCCACAACACTGTGTGCACAGCAAGGGTTTAAACTGCACGGAATTTATGGTGAGCACCCAGACCAGAAATCCTAGCCCAACAGTACCATGTTGTGAAGGCTTCTTCTGACTGCCAGGTCACTGCTCCTCCCAAACACAAAGTGGAGAAGAGGGCACTGCCACTTCTCGGATGGCAGCAAATCAAATGCTGGGTGCCAGGAAACAGAAGGTAAGATCATTAACCTCGAAGCTTCCAAAGCAAACCCAAACACTTTAGTGGGGAAAGAGCACCCTGGTCTGAGTTTTAAGGGCCTGAGTCTGGATGGGGTGGTTCTGGGTGGGGCCCCAGTCCACGATTTGCACTTGGGAAGGGGAAATGTCAGCCATCCACCTGACAGAGGAGCCGAAGTGCTCAGGCAGGAAATGCTTTTATTCCATCCACTCAACCCCTTAGAACGGGAGGTGAAGAGTGAAAAGTGCATTCTTTCTAAGGGCAAAAAATTCCATGATGGCAAGATGAGACCCTGTGATGGGGGCGAGTCACATTAACCTCCCTTGATCCCAGGTGCTTTGTAGATAAAGCCAGGACAACCCCCTCCACACACACCCCCGGCAGTGATTCAAAACAGTAAGGTCACTTTCTAAGTGATGGCTGTCTCCTCTCACCAGACCGCATAGCGGTCCCAGGTGGAGATTCAGCACCTAGGTAGGTGGGTATCCAGGGGCTGGGTAACTCAGAGAGGAGGCTCTGGGAACAGGGAGTCTCGGGGCGCAGTATAGGGTGTGTGCGGGGAGCTGGTGCAGAAGTCTTTACAAAAGCAGATGGCACAGATCGGGGTGTGTGCCTGTACTGGGGACAGGGGTGTTGCTGGTGATGCCACTGCCTTGCCCCCTAAAGTAGGACGAGGAACGTCCCATTGGGCTGCCAGGCAAGGAGGGAGAGGAGAGCGCCATTCCATGGGCCAGGTGGGCTGGGCAGCCCCCTGCCCTGGGTGCCTGCAGAGCCCAGCAGCCCTGCATGGTGGCCGTCCGTTGCTGCGTGTCCCCTAGAGCTCTGGGGCCGGCTGCTCCACAGCCTGGCCCTCCATGGGCTGCATGGCCTCCTGCACGTAGACGATGAACTCGGAGGCCTCCCCGCCTTGCGTGTAGACGGTCACCGTCTCGATGCCCTCCACGTCATCGGAGGACACCACCAGGTGGTGCTGCTCGGCCAGCTCCACGGAGGCTTGCTGGAGGGTCTCCTGGATCATGACTGTGTGGTTGGAGCTGGGCTCCTCGTCAGTGACCTGTGAGAGGGCAAGAAAGAGGTCACACAGGCCCTACTTGTAGGTCCAGCATAACAACATCAGCATAACTATAGCTTACAGAGCAACCAGTGTGCTCCAGGAGCTTGTCCGCACTGCATACCACCCTCGACAATGCTCGGCGATTGTTCTCGTGCCCATTTAATGGATGAAAAGAGTGAGGCTCAGGGATGCAAAGCAACCTGGTTAAGGTCCCCCAGCTGCAGCAAATGGTGGAACCCAAGTTCAAACCCAAAGTCCAAGGTTATTTCCTAACACTAAGTGCCTCCCACTGCTTCCTAAAGAAGGTAGTTACCTAAAGAATGAGGGTTGAAGGCACCACGTGATTTATTTACTGCAACGGTGTTGGGGTGGGGTGTGGGGGCTCCTGGAAATATACAGCGGGTCCATTGGGCAGTGATAAAGGGACTAGGTCCATCCTGGGCTCTCTGGGAGCTCAACTCTGTAGGAAGGTCTGTATCCTACTAGGAAGGGCAGACACTCCCCAGGCATCCTCTGCCCCTCAGCATTAATGCCCTGACCACTGGGGAGGGGGCTGCTGGTGGAAACTCAGTGCCCCCTGGAGCACTGTCAGGGCCTGATGACTTGGATGGCCGGGCCTTTCTCCATAGCTCTGAGCTGGCAGCCTTCAGACAAGGCCGAATTCCAGCTGGTGTTAATGCCCCACATCCCTGACTCTGTCAGCTCGGGGATGTTTTTCATAACAGCTGTCTTTGATCTTGAGAAGAGAAACAAAACACGGGGGGAAGATTATAAAGAGTTGAGACCTCAGAGATGTAAAAATAAGTGAATGGTTAGAAACAAATCCACGGGGAAAGCAAAAGGGCCTGGAATTGTGTAGCGGGAGGATGAGAGAGTGCTCAGATTTACAGAAGGATGCCAGAGAGACCTGTTCATCTCCAGGTGGGTCCGAATGGCACGTGCTTTGTCCAGCACTGACACTGGCTCCACCACTTAGCAGCCGTGAGACACTTTTCTCTGCAAGACTCAGTTTTGTCATCTATAAGACAGGGACTAAAATGTCTACTTCAGAGAATGAGAGGAGAATTCAAGGCGATTCTATATGCAAAGTGGGTGCTTAATACCATCACTGCTCTTTTCATCCCTTCATTCATTCACTTAACACCGTCCTCACCACCTGCTACCTGGAAGGTTTTGTGGCATGGCAATTATTCATTCATTTAACAGAACTGTCATTTTATCAGCCACTACCAGACTGCAAGCTCCACGAGGGCAGGGACCATGCCTGTCTTGTCACAGCTGTTTCCTTAGGGCCACGTTCAACATCTGGCATACAGAAAACACTCAGTATTTGCTGATTGATGATCCATTGGTGATAGATGGCACATCAGGTGCTAAGGTGGCCACACGGTGGAAAACCACAGTCCTCCAAGGAGCTCAGAGTCTTGTGGGCTGCACAGAGCTGTGAGGCTCCAGCAGAGGTGGCCAGTGCAGGACAGGTGGGTGGCCAGGGATGTCATGGGTCAGGAGGCAGCATGGGGAGGGGTTCCTGGCAGACAGGGGAGCTGACTCCCAGGACAGTGGCAGGTATGCCTAGGTGGCCTCCACAAAGCTCCATTCCCCACACTTCTGAATGCTCTTCCCGCCTGCATCTGGCATTGGGGGGTTTCCTACTCCTTGTCCCACATATCTGTGACATGCCATGAGCCTGCTCTCTCTCTGGGGAGGGCCCAACTGGCGCGGAGAGTCTCATTCCAACCCTTATTCCAGTGGCTGTGAGTGGGAAGGGCAGTGTTAACAGGTGGGGCACGTTTAATTCAGAGAGAAAAATGAAAAAGGCTCTTCCAGGGTGGGCTCCAGAGGTTCCGTCATTATGGATTGGAAGGAACTTTCAATTTGGACTGACAGAATTCATCAGGAGATGGAGAGCCGTTCCAAGGGGAAACTATTCATACATTTAGCCTGATTTGTCCTTTTAGAGTGAACTGAGACTTTTTTTCTTCTTTCACTGCTTGTTTCAATTTAATTTAACTGGGAGAACTACCATGAACCAGGACTTTAGAAGTAAATATTGATTCATTTCACTTTGAAAGTAAGTACCTGACAGAGGCTAGGAAAGGGGACAGGACATGCAACACATTTTTTCTCCCCTTAACTGTCAGTGAGTTCTACACAAAGGGAAGGGGCAGTGGAGAGGGGTGATCTATGCCTGGGGCCTCACGTGTGCAAACAAGCCCACCACACTGCAGGTAAATAGATGACGTGACAAATATGGTGAGACCAACCAATACACGAGCTTTAAGACATACTCTGGGATGTGACACCATTACTAGGACATAGTGATTGTCATCAAAGCTGAAGAGGAAGCATTCACTGACAGAAATATTCCACTGGCCAAAAACTCCTGTCCCTTTAACAACTCTAACACCACAGCGCCAGAGTACTGACGGGCAGAAATTACAGCCGAGGACAAGGAGAACCGTACTTGGCAGGGCCCTTTAGGAGCAGAGGCTGCAGCCTCCTGCCCCAGGGCAGCACCGTGTGTACACACCGGGTTCTCAGCGCCAGCCCCAGGAGGAAGTGGGAGGTTCCCTGATGACCAGGACATGGCCACCGCCCACAAATGTGGTGAAAACCAAGAAGAGGGCAACAGGCTTGAACTGAAGGTCAACGACGTGCTAAATAACTCTGTAGCATCAGGGCCTGGGGGCCGCTTCATGGAAGGTGGCATTGGCCACAGAGGGTCCGTGGTGGGAAAAGGCATCACAGGCAGAGAGAAGACACTGAGCGAAGAGCAGGCATATGCCCTGCAGCCCTGTCCAGGTCACCCACCACCTCCCAGCCACCAAACCCACTGCGCAGAGTTCCGTCTTCACCTTTCCAGAACACTCTGCCATCTGCACTGCTGACCCCGACTCAGCTTTGTTCCTGAGATGCCCTCTTGGCTGTTCCCCCAGCCCCCTCTGGGCTCTGTTCCGAGCGTTCTCCCAGATTCCAGGGTTGTTTGCTGCTCTTCTCCTTCTGCCCGCCCCAAAGGCTGGGGCATTCCTGGGTCTCCCTCCTTGACTTCTTCCCCAGGCCCTTTGGGCACTTTCGATCCTGGCTGAGCCGGAGACTCCTGCCCCCACTCCAGACCGTGCGACCCTCTGCACAGGAGGTGCTCAGGGATGTGTTGTGAAACGATGCATGAACAGGCCGTGCAGAAGTCACAGACAGAGGGAGTGTCGGGGGAGAAGTGACAGAGGAGGCCTGATACGAAGTTTGCAATCAGATCCTGAAGAGCTTTGATCATCAGCTGAGAGAAAGAGCCTTTATTTTACAAAGGAAGACACTGAAGGTTTTCAAAGAAGGGCCCTGTGTCATCCAATCTGATGGCACTTGATGAATCAAAACTTGCCTAACATGAGAAGACTTGTTGAGCACTATGCTTCTTTCCCTACCCATGTTCACATTTAGTTGACCATATTACCCTTTGTAAGTATTGAGCCTACTCAAAGATAACCCTTTCTCGATTTGTTTTGTTTCTTCCATTTTCAGTATCCAGGGTTTGTTCAACAGAATCACCACTAAATTCATCCACTGCTAATTATCGGAGTACAATAAAGTTTCCAAACACGATCCTTTAGAAACTTTTCTGGCTTAATTCACCAGAAAAAGTGAGGCAGCAGTGGGCAATGCATATTTCACAGTCCTGCAGAGGAGTCCTCTAAGTCAGCGCAGGCATACAGGGCCGTGTGCTGCTGCCTTACCATCTGACATCGAAAGCGCACCTAACCACCAGCATGAGTTCCTGAAGCTCACCTACTGCAGGCCCGTTCACTCTCCTGAGCCTTCGCACCTGCACAGATGCCTCACTTTAAGCTAACACGTGGACCCTGCATACAGATGATGCAGGAGAGAGAGTGGGCTGCTTCACGGGAGGGGCTATGAGGCTTTCTGCAAAGAATGCACCCCCATTGTGCATTCTGAGGGTTACATGATCACACTCTGTCTGCTTTTATGCAGCTTCTACAAACCATGCACTGCCTTCCCCGCTCCCAGGGAACTCAATGTCTACCCAGCCCTTTGCAGTTTACTTGAATGTTCTCCTAAGCCTCATCCCAATTATTTACACACAATGTCTTGTGGCTTGGGCAACTCTGTTCCCTTTTTACAAATGGAGACACTGAAGCTCCTAGCACTCTGGTGACTCATCAAAGATCAAACAGCTGTAATGTAGCAAAAGCTGGGCCTTAGTTCAGGTCCAGAGACCTTCCCCAGTTGGTGTTGTGTGGCAGTGATTAAACGCAGGCCACGTCCCATATTGATAGGATTAAATTATCGCTCTTCACCCATCCCAATCAGTCTGAGGCTGGCTACATAATTCTCAAACACTCTCTTTGTTCAAAATGATCACTCTAGTAGCTTAATCTATTAGCACAGGCTTAAAATTGTTCTCTGTAGTAGAAATAATATGGCTTTCACAGTGTCATTATCCCCTGAGATGGGTACTCCATTTTCCCCAAATGCTGTATCTAACACATCTTTTAGATGAATTATTAGTAGCATAGATAGCTTAATAGAAACTCTTAGCCCCTGGGACTCTACACATTATTCACTAAATCAGGCACTGAGTTCTGCAGTTCTGCCTGCCTCAAGTGTTCTTCTGGGATCTAGACTAGGTCACTGTCAGGACCCAGGCACTTTGCTGGGCTCTATTCATGCTCAAGAGCAGCTTCTCCTAGAGACCGTGTCTACTCCTTGGCTTTAACCTTCCTCGTCCACTCATCCAGCAAATGTCCATGGAGACCGCTGTGTGCCAGGCAGCCAGCTACGGCTCTCACTGCCTCGCTGTCTGGGTTTTTTTCCTACCTCCTGCCTGTCCCGCCTTCTCCTTCTCCTCCAGCTCCCTTCCCCACTTTCTGTGTAAAAACCATCCCAGAAGGTTAAGCTTTGACCCTCCCAACATTCAAGAAAATCCCAGAAGTCCCCCAGCTCTGGAAACCCTCCTGAAGGAAGGTGGGTCCTGCATGTCTCCCAGC